TGTGCAAGATTCCTTATTCTCGATGAGTGCTGATAGTAGTGCTCTCAATATTACTTCTTTTCCATTAATTTTCTTTACTTTGACTACCTAAGATCCTTTATTATATCTGATGCTGACTAAATACTCATTATTACTAATGCTTTCTATATTGCAACAGCTACACTTGTTAAATGAGCAGTCCTCTACTAGTTAGCTTGATTGTTTCTAGTACTTAACTATTACAAGCTTCTCTGTTTTCCTTGCTATTTTTCCTATATAGAAATCTTCTCTTCTTTTGAAAAGCACTCATTCTCTTTTCTGTTTATCTTTAGAAATAACTTATAGTTAAGTTTTTATTTCTTCTCTATTAGGGCTCTTTACTTTATAGAGGTCTTGCACTTCTCTAGAGCTATTTTCTTTAGTATTCTTTCTTCAAGTTTTTTGAACTAGCTTGGAATACGGCCTTTTGTTTTTCTACCTCTTATATACTTTAGTTAATCTCAGATTAGCAAATGACTTTCTGTACTATTTATGAGCTGTTTTAATATGAAAAGGTTTATCTTGTCTAGGTTTAAAAAGGTACGAAGCTCTTTTGTATCTAATAAGCTTGATATTTCTGTTCCTTTAATATTAAAAGTATCAGAGTCTTTTAAGATCTTGTTGATTTTTATGTTTAGTTTAGCTACTTTGTATAACACCTTTATAGCCAAGTTATTTATAGAGACTAGCTTATTAAACTTATAGTCCTTGCTCAGAGGGCTGCATAGATATTTGCCTCATAGTTAATCTTTTTTAACTCTTAGTCTTGTTGTTACTTCTAGAGAACCTTGCTAGTTGAGACGTAGAGTAAGCTTTATAAAGTGATATGCAAGCTGGTTTTGCTAAATTGATTTTATGTCCATGAAACCTATATAGCTACAAATTGAGTTTGCTGTTGACTTAGCTAGCTTAATTTTGTTTTTGATTAAGGTTCAAATTGGTCTTTATAAGTTTTCGCATTTTGATTTGCTTATGAATATTGTTTGTAGTCTGTATTCTATGCTAGATAACAAGACAGTATTGTTTAAGTATATGAGCTAGCTTGCTGATGCTTTTTTCCACCTTATAGCTTTGCATATTCTACTCACTTCATTTTTTATAATATTTAGGCTATAATGTTGTTTTCCTTTTCTTAAGATCTATACTCCTAAGTGTTTTACTATGTCTTTGTCTTTTTTTGTACAGACTTAATTCTAATTCTTTTCTACTTTAATCACTAGTATCTCTTTTTCTTTCTCTTTTTTCTTGGCATTTACAACTATTAGCTCTGACTTTTTACTATTTATTTCAATGTTATTTATCTCATAGAACTTATTTGAGATATTTACTATTTTCTGTAGCTTGTCTTTGGATCTTGCTATTCAAGCTATATCATCTGCATAAGCAAATATAGTTTGTTAGTTTATTAGTCTTTTGGTTTTGTTATGAGCTATGTCTGTTGGCTAGTTTGTTGCTATCTAATATCCTATATCTTTTGTACTATTTACTGTACATAGAAGTGGGTCATAAAAGATACACTAGACTAAGGGTGAGATTACTTCTCCTTGGTTGAGTCTGTCTTTAGCTTCAAATTTATTTGTTAGTCTGAAGTTTGTAATCACTTTGATTCTTCTTTTCTTGTATAAGCTTAATATGAAATTAATCAAGTTTTCTAGAAGCTTGATTCTTTCTCTAGCATTTCTAAGCCTATAAAGTCAAATGCTTTTCACATGTCTTGGAATAGAATTTATAGCTCATTGTTTTTTTGTCTTGTATCCTCTAGCAGATTGTTCATTATATGAATTGAGCTCATTGTGTTATCACCTAAAAGCCCAGCATAATTAGGATCTTCCAAGATATTGAAGTCTACTAGAGTTTTGTTTAGTCTGTGTGTTAGAACTCTCACTACTGTCTTGTGAAAAGTTTTAATTAAAACAATTGAATGAGTATTAGACAAGTTATAATTCCAATTCTCTCCTTTAGGGATTAGATAAAGTTGGCTAAGCTTCTATTTAGATAGAATTTCTCTTTTTATGATACACAGGTTAGTGAGATGTCTGAATATTTTTTGTGCTATTGTATCTGCTTTTTTTATCAGTAGATAGCTTATACTAGATAGGCCTAGTGCAGACTTAGGCTTTATCTTTTTGAGTGCCTTTAACCATTCTTCTTCAGAAATCTTATCTTCTAAGCTATCATATATTTTGCTATCTATCTTTTCTAGTGGATCATAACTTTTTTCTATCTAATTAGCATATCTGAAGCATAGGTGTTTCTTTTGTGAAATTACTTTTTGAAATAGTTTTTCACTTCTTCTAGTACTTCTTCTTTCTGGTTCACTAGTACTATTTCTGAGTTGTCTTCTTTAATGATTCTATCTATGACTACTCATTTTGAAAATCTTTCAAGTAAGCTACTTATCATATGTTTGAGTTCTCCTTGTATTGCTTTGTAGTAATATTTAACTGCTATATTAATTTCTTCAAGATTCTCTTTCTTTCTTGCTTACTAAGCTTTTAAATATATAATCTTCTACTACACCTTTAGCTCTTCATGTCTTTTTTTGGTTTACATAGTTTCAGAGAACTCTTCTATTTCTGTTTCATACAGACTATTTATTCTTGCTATTTTTGCATTCATTAAATGCTTGTCTGTGCTATCGATATATTAACCTATTTTTGAAAAATATTGTTGACACATGCTTCAAATTATCTTTAGGTCTTTCTTAATATTTTTGCTCTTTTTCTTTTTTTCTAGAACAGGTTTTTCTACTATAGACTCTTTTCCTGAGAGAGTTGATCTTGTACATTTGATTATACTTGTTATGATTATATCCTACAAGTTATCTTTATTTAATATCTCTAGGTAAGCTAGATTGTACTCATCTTTTATGATGTTTAGCTTCTTCTTGAGCAAACTTTTTGTCTAGAGATCTTAAAACCTTCTACCTTTATTAAATTAAGTTTTCTTTTCAGATCAGACTTTAGCTAATGTAGTTTTGTCAAAAGACCATATTATTTTATCAACTCAGAATTTTTACTATGTAGGTTCTCACTCATATATCCTATCAAATATAATATTATGTCATATTTCTAAGTTCTGATCAATTTGGTACAACTTAATTTATAGGAATATGCTCTCAGAAATAAACAGGATTTACTATAACATATTACAAGATCTGAAAAATTATTCAAATTTATTGACAATAAGATTTGAACCCCAGACCTATTGCATAGCAGTCTAATAACCTAACCACTATACTAGGTTATTGAACCTTACTAATATATTTTTTTAATTAATTAATAGATTAATAAATGATATTGAATTTTTTAAAATTTATGATAAACTTTTAATACTATTTCTTGTAACAAGATAGAACTAATTAAAGTAGGATTGTTTTTTGAAGTTGAGATTTTACTTAAATCAAATAAGATAATAAAACTTTGTGAAGATTTTAATCTTAATTCTACTATTCATGATTATTTTTTTAAAGAAATATTTCAATTTGCCTTAGCTAAATTTGACAAACATATTAATAATAATTCTGCAATTTCAATATTTAATACTACAAGATATTTTAACCCACGCTTTATTCAATTACAACCATACTATCACAATATATTACTCTATAAAGATATAAAAGAATTTTTAAAAATTCTACAAATGAATTAATTAAAAATAGGAAATTTATTGTAGTTTAAATGAATTGTTTGAAGAAAATTTTGATTTGGATAATTATTGGCAAGAAAAACTCGAAATTTTACCAAATTTATCTAAATTAACATTAATTTATATTTAATTACCTATTTCAAGTGTAGATGTAATTTCTCTACATATAATAGAATTTTAGCGGATAACATACAAAATTTGTCTGAAAATTCGATTAGCATGTTTAATTTTTTAAATTTCAATAAATAAATATTTGTTTAAAAAAAAATCGCATAATTTTACTATTATTTCGCATAATTTTGTATCGGGGGCATAATTTGGACCAATCGCACTGAATCAATTTACAGGTTTTATTTACCATACTATACGAATCAAAAAAAATTTTCTATAAATCGTTTCTTTCTTATCATTATATGAAGTTTAGATAAGGATATTTCTGAAAAAATCAAGGAGCAATTAAGTTATTGAAGCACTACATATTTTATCCGATATTAATTATGTATGTACAGTACATACATGACTGAACGAAACGAAAAATTTAAAGCCTTCAAAAATAAACGGTAATAAATTAAATTACAGTACACTTCTTTATTTGCATTTTTATAACAAAATATTGTTTAAAATCATTCCGACCTAGATCTCTTAAAAATTTATTATTTAACTACACATATTCCGGATGCTAAATAGAGCATGGGTCGATTATAAGGTTTGAAGCGCAAACATCACAAATTTTACATGTAAGACGCTGCAAATTACTAATTTAATTTGCCCGGTACAGCCCGTGTAAAATTTTGTTAGCTCTCTAAAAGTCTGGTCCAGTATCAAATAATAAATTTGGGGTAAAAAAAAAAAAAAAAGTAGTATCAAAAATGTAAGTTTTTTTTTTTGCATCTATCAAGATTCTTTTAAGGATTTGGTCCCAAAAGACCGATTACCGGTAACATCTCTAATTTATTAAATAAAATTATTGTTTTATAAAATAGATGTCAAAGAACAAAAATACGGTACATATGCAGTTTTTATGACACGTGACTACGAAGCAAAAAAACGCGGATTTTTCATATTTCAAAGCTTTTCATTATTTTATAAAATTGAACCAAATAATGGTATTAAAATTTTAAAATTTAATGTTCGAGATACATTTGAATTAAAAAAAGGCCAATTTAGCATTACAGCATTAGAGAGAGAAGTGAGCGCATTATAGTACAGTAATAAGTAAATAAACAAAATAAAGAGTAATGTAAACAAATATAAATATGGATGATCGATCGGTCAATTATTAAAAATTCATAGGCTTAATTCTTTTCATTATTACTGTATTTGATACATGTAACATGAGCCAAAGTAATGACTTTTTTAAAGCAAGTATTTGATTATTTTTCTTTTTTTTAAAAAAAAAATTAATAATTTATTATTACATTGCACTGAATATAATATAATATAATATAATATAGTATCAAAATATCAATGAATTTCATCAAGAAATTGTTCGACCCCCATTAAACCCAAAAGATGAATCAAGTTCAAATAACAAACCACAACAAATTATAAGACCTCCATTTAAACCAGATAATACAAACAATGTGGAACAAAACCCTCCGATCATCATGGATGAGTTCATAAGAACCGAACAAACCGGAAAACGTAATAAATGGACAGAGTTAGAATTATATTATCTAGAAATTGGAATGATAAAATATGGAACTAAATGGGAAAAAATTTTAAAAGATTATGGAAAACCACATGGACAATTAAGAAATCGAATAGCACCAAATTTGAAAGATAAAGCTCGTAACGAAAAATTAAAAAGATTAAGGGAAGGAATACCTTTGGGTATTTTTGAACTTGCTACAGGAGATTAAATACTGTATCACTTTTATTTTACAATAATGAAATAAATAAATGCTTATAGAATATTGATTTATGCTTTTATTGCATTTATAATAATTAACCTACAAAACATTTGCAAAAGTACAATGTAAGAAGAATATAATATATAATAAAAAACAAAAAAAAAAAAAGTAATATGAGTGAGAAAAGCTGTAAAAAAAAAAGTTTTATTCTTATTTAAAAAAAAACTATGTAACACACGGTTTATCTAACAGAGGTTGAAATAAATCTTTAAATGTATCTTCTACTTCCCAAATAGGTGTATACAATTCACCATAATCATCACCATAATCACCATCATAGTCTTGTAAATAATTAGAAAAATCTTCATCTTTTATATCTTGAGAACAATAATATTCATCAAATTCTATTTCAGAATATTGATAATCATCATTATATGAATTAACATCTATTAAGGGATTTAATTCTCGAGAATACGCAATACATTCTTCAAGTGACATGTTAACTTCAGATACTGGAGTTGTTGGTCGAGGGAACATTTCAAAATCAGCCATCGAGAATAAAGTTTGATCCAATAAAGGATCATCGGGAAGTTCGTATGTTGGAGTCGATAAATTTAAACTTTCAAAAATTCCAGAATATTCAGTGATTGAATTCAAATCTACTGGTAGTTGGGGTTGTGATAGATCTTCTTCTTCATTGTCAATTCGTTGTTCATACCAAGATGGTTCTGATAAAATCGGATCCTGATTTATAGAAAATTCATCATTTATCGAATCTTGATTTATAGAAAATTCATCATTTATCGGATCTTGATTTATAGAAAATTCATCATTTTTCGTACATTGTTGATTAGAATCTAAAGATTCTACATCCACGACAATAAGATCTGTTTCAACTGATGATTGACTCATTGACCAGCCGTCACTTGTTATTACAACACATTCTTCTTCATCCTCCGTGGAGAGATCATCCGAATTTTTAGTAATGATTTCTTCGGTTGTTTCTTCTATAATTTCATTGTTGTTGTTCCGAATGTCAAACGATGACATTTCAATATTATCATCAATCGATGACATAGAGTTCTCTGTGCGATTACAAAAATAACTACAAATTTTAACAATCTGTTAAAGAGTTATAAATATTAATTAATTAAAAACCACTTACTAGAATATAGTATGCATGCATTTTGCGTATTCTCATGAACAGGACTACAACCCAACAATGGTAATTCCCAATCAGTTATTTCGTTAAATTGTCTCTCATCATATGTTTTCGTATCATTCCAAATATTAAGAGTTCCAATAAACTTTTTTTCTTTCGAATTCTTCTTTTTTATTGATACCAATTGAGTGGAGGGTTCATTTTCTGAAATGTTAATTCTTAAAGGACTAAATTCATAATTAAAAACAGAGTTTTCATTTAATTCGTCTGAAGTTTCATTTAATTCGTCTGAAGCTTCATTTGATTCATCTGAAGCTTCATTTGATTCATCTGAAGTTTCATTTGATTCATCTGAATCATGAGAATCGGAAGCATCAATTGACTTATTTGTATCAGAAGCTTCATATGATTCATATCCATCTGAATCAGAAGAACCGGAGGATTTACTTGATTCATCTGAATCAACAAATGATTCTTCACTAAATTCAATTTCATCTTCATTTCGTTTAAAGTTCATAAAGTTTTGATAATAAGATTCCATCATAAAGCGTGATTTTCCTCCGGTTTGACTTGGGATCATTTTTCCTCTAACTGGAAGAATTGAACGCCCTTCAACATTGTTTTTATTTGATTTTTTAATATTATTTGATATTTTATTTGAAGAGTTATTTTTATTTAAGGATTTTCTACTTTTTGTTTCATGTCGTTGGGTCGGCATAGGAGTTCGTGAACGTGATAATTTCTTGGTATGATTTTCAACTTGACTAAAAAATATATAATTTTTGTTAAAAGATTTAAAAAAAATTTTTTTTAAAAATTATAAAATCACCTTTTATTAACCGACCCACTTCGTGACCTGAATCTTTTAACATGAACCATAAGTGTTTGTCTATTTTTCCATAATTCCATTCCAGCATCTGATCTAAGCCATTCAATACAATCTTTTGGTCTTCCTATAGAGATAGGATGAAGATTTTTATCCTTTCTAAGTCGTTGTGTACTTGATAATTTTGCTTTCAAATTATTCATTTTTCTATTATTAACATAAACTCCTGCAAATTTCAGTAATGTTTTACCGGTAACATCAATATTTGTACTAGCAATAATATTAGCGATAGAATTATCTAATTCATTATTATTATCTACATTATTATTAACATTTACATTGTTAAAGTTATCTAACATATGCAAATTATTTGATTGTTGAATATCATCATCATCAGAATTATCAGAATTATCAGAATTATCAGAATTTAATGGAGTAGCTTCAGAACTATCGTAAAGATTATTATCATGAGTCGTCAATATTGTATCACAATCTATCCCTGCATCGCTTGAATATGGTGTATCGATAGAATCATTTACCGTTATAATATCCGAATTATCAGTTTCATTATTATAATCTAATTCAATATCCAAAAATCTTTTTCCTTTTAAATCATTTATTGATATTTCATTATCATCATCAATAGTATCTTCAATATCTGATAACATTTTTTCATTATCAAATTTCTTTAAAATATTCTTCGTTCTATAATTACCCATCATAATATCTATATTATTACCATTTTCTGAATCCATTGAATCATCATCATCTATCTCATTGTCGTTTGAATTTAATGTTGGTATCATCGAAATTAACATATCCATTTTTGTAAACTTATTAAAAGAAGAATATGGATAAAAAAATAAAATAGAGTATCAAAAATAGAACAAAAAAAAGAAAAAAATTTTTTTTTTTTTTATTAAAAAAAAAAAAAAAAAAAAAAATGAAAAAAGATATCACTAAATTCAAATAAGATTTCTTTAAACTGCGGTAGGGTTAATAGTTATGACGTTCTTATGAATCATTGCGCAATCATTTATAGCTTGTCATTTTACTTAATAATTAGAGTTATGTTTTTTTTTTATACGTATAAATAAATAAGTATTAGATAATAATATACGTATACGTAGTCAATGATGTAGTACTTTTTCGCGTTTAACATAGTAAATTTTTTTTTTTATTCTCCCCCCATTGACAATCTTAATTAAACTAGTGATTTTACCGATAAGGAAACATTATTGAATCAATTATACTGTACGTATAAACTAGTTTTTAATAAATACATTTCAACATTTGATTTTCTTTTTTGTTTGGAAGAATTTCCTTATACAAATGAAATTTATACAGAAAAAGATAAGAATGAATTTAATGAATTTTCTACGATGAAATTTAGATGAAATTGTAATTCTTTATTAGTTAGTATGAATAAAAATTTTGCACGTGATTTTATTTTAATTATACAACATATAAAGTATTTGATATGATTGGTGGATGTTGTACATAATGTGCGTAAGAATCTGATGTTTGACTGTTAAAAAAAAAAAGTAACCTAATATGTAGCACTTTTGTTTGATCACAAGAGACAATAATAATTGCGTCAATATAGTATCATACAACGTAAAGATTATATATATCGATTGGCGAGTAGGATTTAAATAATGACTATGATGAATTACGTTAATCAGTGATTACATCATACTTAGTTCATAAGAAATTTATTACTTTTCATAAAAAGAGGTCATATTTTCCTCTTGAAAAACTTTATGATTTTTTTTTATATAAAAATCCGAAAGGTTTTAACAACACCATAAAAATACGACTTTTTTTTTTAAAAAAAACAACAAAAATGATGATTACACGTAGAATATTTTTATATCTCTTTTTAATCTCGATATTACTTGTGATACCTACCTTTATCGGTGCAACGAAATATGGTAATTAAATTTTACATCTAAAAAAGGTGATATTAATATATATATAATTTTTTTTCTCACCTTTTGTATTATTATATTATTTTTAAGATCGAAATGACCCTACTACCTGGACCCCACAAGAACTTAAAGAATGGTTATCAGAGCATCGTATAGATTATAAAGTTATTCCAGATAAACAAGAATTAGTTAAATTAGTTAAAAATCATTTTAAATGTGAAGAACCAAAGACGACTGATGAAGCTATAAAAGATTTCGTAAATTATTATTTTGACTCCCTTAAAGAAGGTAATTAATTTTTTTTATTGATAATTTCAACGGGGGGTTTTTTTTTTACTGCGGAAAAACTTATACATTACGATCTTCATTTAATAATAAATAGTTAATTACGAAATTAAAGATTCTACACCAGAAAAATTAAATGAATATACACAAAAAGTTGCTAATCAAATTGAACAACTTAGACAAATAACTTATCTTACAGAAGAACAAATTAATTCTGTATTTGATAAAATTTTTGAAAGATTAAAAGGAACTAAAGATTTTACTAATAAAAATTTAGAAAAAGCTCTTTATCAAATTAGAGATTCTTATGCTTTAGCTAAAGAACGTAGAGATGCTATTATTCATAATACTTCAAGTAGAATTGAAAAAGATATATCAACTAGTAAAGAAATTTCTCAAAATACTGTTGACTTGTTTAAAGAAGAAATTAATAAATTAAGTGAATCCGGTGCTTTTGCTAAATCACGTCTTGGAACTCAAATTAGCCTGATTTTACATGGTACAATATTTTTTTTTTTTTTTTCTTGTTGATCATATTTGAAAACGGTTTTTTTAATATTTTTATTTATTTGTTGTTTATTATAAAAAGGTATTCAGGAGAGATTGACACAAAATAAAATCTCAACTGCTGATCAGATTAACGCCGCTTATGATAAATTAAGTACATCGGTTGAAGATTCTTATCGGTCTATTGATGGAACTTTAGAACGAATTCGTAAAGAACTTGCAAATTCTATTGGAGTTACTGCTGAATCTTTTATTGAAGAAGTTAAAAATCAATTATCTACTGTTAATGATTATCGTCTTTTAACTCAAGAAAAGATTCAAATTATACTTGATAATATTGGTCAAAAATTTCAAGATGGAAAAACTTTAACTGTTGAACAACTTCAATTTATTAAAGATACTATTAAAAGCGGTTTTGGTACTATTAAATATTATTATAGTTCTACTACCGGTCATGCTAAACAAGCTGTAGACGAGACTACTAAGAAAGCTAGGGAAGAACATATAAATAGAATTATTAAAGATATTCAAGACAGAATTCAGGAATTAAAGAAAAAAGGTGATGAAACACAACTTTCCCTGCATGAGATAGAAAATGATATCACAATACAACAACTTAATCCTGGTCAAGCAAGGATCCTTTCAGAAGTTATAAAACAACAATTTGAAAATCTAAAAGATGCTAAAGATCTTACTGAAGATAAAGTTAGTGCTTTTTTGGGTGCTCTAAAAGTCAAATTGGCTGAAACTACTGAATATGTTGGTGATAAATTGGCTGAAACTACTGAATATGTTGGTGATAAAATATCTGAGGGTTATGATACTACAAGTGAACAGTTAAGCGAAGGTTATAATGTAGCTAAAAATAAAGTTTCGGAGGGTTACGAGAAATCATCCGAGAAAATAGGTGAAGGATTTGATAAGGTGAAGGGGCATTTAAATCGTGAGAAAGATGAATTGTAATACAAAAAGCCTTGTTTATTATTATTTTTTTTTTCGAAAAAAAAAAACAGTATATATTTTTCTTTTTTAAAACTTTTATGAATTCGAAATTTTTTTTTTATGTACTTCATTATTATTAGCATTATCGTTATACTGTTATTATTATAGCTATTTAGTATCGTATTTCTTGAATCGAATTCCAAAGATGTAATAAAATCAAATTTTTAAAAGATATATTTTGCAAGTTCGCACCCCCGTTTATAAAAATACCATTTAAGATAAAATTATTGTTATCAAATATTAAATATATTATTATACGCATTTTCCCGCCAGCTTTTCATAGCCGTTACCTTTAAGAGTTATTTTATTTAAGGACCTAAAAGGGAAGGTGAAATGAAAAGGACATAAATAATAATAAACGCCAATTTTTTTTAAAATCTTGAATTAACTGCGTATGGTTACACTCATTTCCCGGGTGAAAAAGAGAAAATCTTTGCATATATGCATGCATTACATTCTTATCTGTTATCGTTATGTATGTATGTACTGTATCGGTATGTACTTAATTACATTTTTAAATATCAAATATATTTAGTATAGTTTGTTTTTTAACTAAAAAAATTCTTTCGTTCTAGTCACATGTTCAAAATCAAAATTTCCGAGAACAAATGATTTTATTAATATAACGAAGCTTTCTTTTTTTTAAAAAAATTCAAATTTACAACAAAAAAATTTTTTTTTCCTACAATAGATACAAGAAAAAATAAACTAAACGACTACAACAAAAAAAAGAGTAAAATTAAAAAAGATTTTTTTTTTTTTTTTTTTTAAAAAACAAAATTATTAAATATAACTAGTGAAGTAGGTACAAAGGGACCATACAACGACCATTGAATCTTTACTACAGAGAATTATAGAGAATTTTCTTCAACACTTTTTTTTTTCTTTTTTTTTTTTTTTTTGTGATTTTTTTTTTTTTTTTTTTGGTTTTAAATATATACAAAATAACCGAATTTTCTTTTTTTCGTAGAACGAGGGAGCTAATAGAACTGCTCAAAGTATGTCTCAAAATATATACAAGAATTGTAAGCTATAAAAAAAAAAAAAAAAAAAAAAATATACACAAATATTAGAATTGACGAATATCAATTCCGAGAGGAGGGGGGAAAAATCTAAAAAAGGAAATATAATACAAATATCTCATAACACTAATATATTGAATAAAATACATCTACCTATCATATATATATAAATAATAATGATAAATAGATTCCTCTATCTTTAAATTAGTGTAGGGATAGGGAAAAAAGAAAAAGGGAAAATAAGAAGTAACAAAAGGGGATTAAAAAAAAGATTCTTTTTTTTTTTTTTGGATTACTATTTTGTAATATTTTTTTATATTTTTTTATATATTTTTTTTTTTTTAAGATTTTTTATATGCTTCATTAAGGAATAAAGAGAAAAAAATAATTTTTTTTAAAGAACAAGAAAACAAGAAAAAAAAATAAAAAAAAAATTGTTTCTTTTGTTTTTTTTTTTTTTTCTATATGTTAACAGATTTAAATAGCTTGCCTGCCGTAGGATTGGCCAATGTAGCTTGAGCACATTGAGTTGCATTATCACTTCTTAGATGACGGTTTAATGCATCCAAACGCGCAAAAGCGCGACCACAATTACCACAAACATGGGGTTTTAAACCAAGATGTAGTTTTTGATGACGTTTAAGATCATGTTGTCTTGCAAAGGCTCGAGGACAACCAGGATAATTACATACGAAAGGTCGTTCATCAGTGTGGGTTCTAAGATGAGATTTTAAATTATATTGTCTAGTAAAAGTTTTCGGACAATGTTCATGAGGGCAAGCGAAAGGGGCAAGCGATTTTGTAGACTTTCTTTGCTGTTTGGTAGAGGGACCCAAAGTTTCAATATGAAGACGTTGAGTTAACTCATTACCAGATACAGATTTGCGGCGATTGTGCTGTTGGAAGGCAACTTCAGACTTCACAGGAGTTGAAGCAATCTTGCGGAGAAAGATAGCGTCATCAAGTGATTTACGTCGTGCAGCTTCCGAGGCCAAACTGTCGGTACTAAAATAATCTCTGGCATCCAGAGCAGCTAATTCACGCGGAAAAAAAGATTTGGCATCCATTTCGAATAATTGATCTGCGGTCGAATTGGAAATCTTTTCTTGTGATTGTAGGACACCGACAAAAGGAGATTCGGCACCTGTTGGAATGGTAAAACAATCCAACGGATGAGAAATCATTGGCCCTAAAAAATAATAATAATAATAATAACAAAAAAAATAAAAATAATAATAATTATAAATAAATAAATAAAATTTAATTAGATTTTTATTAGATTTATAAAATTTATATATCGATATAAATAAAAATAAATTTTAGTAAATATATAAACACGTGATTACGCGAAAAAAAAAATTACCTTGAGTATATGGAGAGTAATGACCCATTGGCATTTCTTTTGCCATGGCCATTGCGACATTATAATCATGATCATTATGTAAAGAACTATTATGTAGATTCTCCATTTTAATAGGAAATGAAGGATCAGTAAAACAAGAAGGAGGAGAGTCCGCCGAGAAACTATCAGTAAGATCAAGGTCAAGATCTGAACAAGTTTCGGGAGATGAAGAATCCGGAGACAAAGTATGAGAAGTTGGTGGCCCTAATGAGAATAATGGAGGGTAATAACAATAATTACCCTCCGTAGATAGAGAGAAGGGCTCTATCATAGAGGCGGGAGAATAACTCAAGTCAGAGTTATAATAAGGAATGTATTTTCTCTGAATATCTTCTGTCGAAGAATAATTCTGTGGCATTGAGCTCGGGCGACCAAGAGCTAATACCGAACAAGCCTCAATTGTTTCTTTTTGTTGTTTCATTATAACTAAAGAAAAAGTTGTAAGAGCTTTTTTTTTTTTTTTTCTTTCAGGTACAAAAAGGAGGCGTTGTCGTGTACTTTGTGAACGGGTGGCGGAGTTCGGAAATGGAAAGGGAAGCCCTTTGCTAGGCAGATAGGGAATTTTTGGTTAAGGGGAAAGAATTTTTAAGTATTTGATAAATGACTGCTGCCGTATTTTACTTTTCGTAATTCGAGCGAAAGAAATTTGCAGACAATAGGGCATAAAGTGAAAAGAACTCGAAAAAAAAAAATTTAAAAAATTTTGTCAAGGAGGCGAGTTTTTTAATGTTTTTTTTTTTATCTATTTTTTTATAAACTGGTATTTTTTTTTTTTTTTTTTATATTATTTACTTTAAAAAAAAAAAAAATTTTTTTTTTTTTTTTTTTTTTGTACGCACTTTACAGATTACCAGAGAGATTTTCAGGAAAAATAGAGTTGTTTCACAAAAAAAAGTTTAAAAAAACTTGAAGTTTTTATAAAAAAAATAAAACTTGATTTAATCAACAAAATAACTTTGATCAGACCAACTTTTTAAAGAACCAATGAATTATTAACATTTAAAAAAAAAAAAAAAAAAATCAAATAGTTTAAACATAAGTTATAGTTTATTAATATAAAAAAAATTATTTCACGCGCAAATTCATTCGACGGTTCAATCTTTAAAAGTAATGATGGCAAGAAATATGTATGAATAAATTGAATCTACTCTTTACTTTCCTGGTGTGATCCGTAATTTGGAGCTTAACGAGTGTCTTTTTTTTTTCACTGCCGATCCACAGTGAGAAAAAAAAAAAAAAAATATTGCGCCGCTAATTGTACAATCAACAATTTGCACCGCCATTACGTGAAAAATATCAAATAAAATAGTTTTTATTTTTTTTTATATACGAATCCGGTATTAAAACGTATAACGATGAAAAAATAACTGATAAGTAAAAAAAAAAAAAAAAAAAATCAATCACCTCGAAACGAATATTATTTTTTTTTTAAGAGACGATCAAAAATTTTCAATAAACTTTTTGTCTGGATGTCGGTAAGCACAGCCCCCCTAATCGGCGTTCCAACTTCCGATTAATAATATTCATAGAAAATATAATAAATGCTATTTTCAGTAACAAATTGTTCGAAAATCGACAATTAGAACTTATATACTTTTCTAGGTAATTTTGTTTGGGGGTAATTTTTTTTTTTTTTTTGCGGATCAATTAAAGGCTAAATTAAATTCAAAATTCATTAATACTAACCATTAATGAAGATTTCATTTAATATGATAAAAATGTCAAATTTGACATATGCACATGTTTTATTGTCATATTTTCGTAATAAATTCGTATCACAAAATGAATTGAATGGAATTTGTGTTATAATGCAGTTAACAATTTGGTGGGAACTTTAAACCGTTAAGGATAAAAAAAATTATAAATTTTCATTAATTAATTCGAAAAAGAAAAAACGCATTAGTCCGTAAATGCGTGTAAAATGATCATACACAAAAAAAAAAAGTTCAGAAAATCAATTATAATCAATCGACCATCCAATCCTTAAA